AGCATTACCACTCAGGTAAGTATAGTGAGAGACTCATCTTGTAAGTAAGCAAGTAGATCTAGTACCCCACGAACAGTCTAGACTCCGCCTACATAACATAATTATCTCTAATAAGCAATTTCTAATAATCACCAAGCTAACTCTTCAACTAGGTCTCAAAAGGGTGAAAATACCATTTTACCCCTCCATGGTCTCCAAAGTCCACTATTGACCAAACCCTAAAAGTCAACGGAAGTCAACACTTGAGTCAACAATCCATGTTGATCGAACTCGGCGAGTGCACCTATGTGACTCGTCGATCTCCCCTGTCCTTAGGAAATCGGGAAAACCCCAACTTAACTCGTCGAGTTGTCTCACCAACTCGTCGAGTTGTAGCGCGTTCAGACTATCGAGGAAACCCTTCCTGACTCGTCGAGTTGGCTCATGCAGTCGTCGAGTCAGTCTAGACCAAATTCTCATTTCGACGATTCTAAGCAGAAATAATGTCCCAAACTCTAGATCTAGCCTCCCAAGGCTGAAATAACACGTAAAGCTGCAAGCTTTACGTCCATGCATGACATCTAGGGCTCAGAATGCCATAATAAGCTCTATATGGGGTCTAATGCATAAAAGCTTGTCTCTAGCTTGATAAAGCTTGGATCTTTGGACTCAAGGGACCTCCTTCAGTCCATATCTGATGTCTCAACCTCATGTCATGCTCAAATGACTCAATACCCAAAAGATGGATGGAAGAAAGCCCTAAAACTCCCTAGAAAGAGATCTAACAAAAGAAATGATCAAGGTGGTAGCTTTTTACCTCCAAACAAAAGCTAGCACCGAAAAACTCTTGATCCAAAAGCCTCTTCTCGTTCCAAGCCTTGATGCTCTTCACTGCCCTTCCAAATATGCACTAGAACACTTAAAGTTAGCTTCTCTTTTTCTCACAAACGAATACACTTGATTAGGATTTCTCACAGAGTAGAAGGGTGATAAGGGAGGCGGAAATGAAGGCTTAAGGTCCTCCGAATCGTCGAGTAGAGTTTTCTCACTCAGCACCTACTCGTCGAGTCGGGGTCCTCCGACTCGTCGAGTAGACTCTAAAAGTCTCGCGACTATCTCAAACTCTACTCGACGAGTTGTGGCCTCCAACTCGTCGAGTTCCCTTTTCAAAATGGGTATAAAATAATTAAATAATATACCTGAGACTCGGAATGTTACACTTTTACCCCTCAACTCTGACCTAAAATTAGATATGACAAATCAGTCTTTTTTACATTGACTAGGGACCAAATTCAAAACCAAACCAAGCTATAGATACCTTTTGAATTAAAAAATTAAATTAAAGACCAAACATGCAAATTATCCAAATTATAGGGATTATTCGTACAATCTATCCAAAATATAATTATAAATGACTCCAAGTGCAATTACTTATAAGTGTAGGGTTATTTTTAAACTAATGCCCCTTTTTTTCTCTCTCTCTCTCTCTCTCTCTCTCTCTCTCTCTCTCTCTCTCTATATATATATATATATATATATATATATATATATATATATATATATATCCGGTAAGAATTTTTTTATAGGAAGGTAAGAAGTTTTTTTTCTACATATTTTTTTGACGAACAAAATAAATGAATCACTAAATGAATAAAAAATAACATGATTCACAAAAAAAATTCTCAAAAAAACATCTCGATGATTCATTTATACAATGATTTTGTTGTTATTCACTAAAATTGTCATAAAAGTGAATTTTTTCGTAATTTACTTTAAAATGAATCATGAAGATGTTTTTTTGGGAATTTTTTCTTGTGAATCGTCTTAAAAATGAATCACCTAATGATTCATTTTGTTTGTTCGCTAAAAGAATATGTAGAAAAAAAAACTTTTTTCCTTCCTACCAAAATTTTCATTCTTATTTGATCTTGACTATATATATATATATACATATATATATATATATATATATATATATATATATATATATATATATACACACACACACACGCTTGATTTGGAATTTTTGAAATTGAGGATTTGTAGAAAGCGTACTTTAGATGTGCCTAGGAATGCTTTGACAGGAGGAGGCAGGAAGACATAAGCATGTGTGTTGAGAATTGTAGCATGCCTGAATCTCGTTGAAGGCGAACTTGCCAAGTTTCAGGTACTTTCTCACTATTAATCTTGTTATCTACATCGATTGTGAAAACCAGATCTTCTTAGCATTATGCATCTTGATATGTAGTGAATTCAGAGATCACAAACATTTGCTTTGTGGAATACAAGAACGATTGAATAGATCACTGATGGTATGCCAAGATAAGTTTGAGTCTGCAAAGATGCAACAGATGAGGACCGATGCAACAAAGGATATGGAATCATGTGTTAATCAGACAGTTGAAGAACATGTCAAGGCATTGCCACATTTGGTTGCAAAATTAAAGGCTTCCCTCGACATCAATCCCATAAACGAGTGAAAACCCATAGGAGGTAAAGAAGCATAGGCTAATATACATTTACAATTTGCTAATGGAACTTGAATAATTGGGCAAGTTTTATTCTTGCTTTACTGATACTGCTCAAGTTAGGGGTGTCAAATTGGGTAATTGTGTCATGTTTTTATTTGACACATGACACTATAATTTTTTTTATATAACACGAACACGATTCAACTTTGTCATGTTCCTTTTTTACTAACACAAAAACGAACCAATAACAAACACAACCCGACCGAGGTCTGTGTTTTTACACTAGACACGGATACAAACACATGTGTTATGTCATGAACTGAAGTTGTAGCATTTAGTTTTGGATTAGGATTAAACAGATTTAAAAAAGTAGTTAACGAGTTGTAAGAAAATTACTTGTCAAGGAAAAATGCAAATTACTTAAGAATCATTAGTTTTAGGGTGATGGTTTTATTCATAAGATCACATTATAGTTTTGAAAAGTGAAAATTTCATAAAAGACTTTACATTTTCAATTATTTCACTTGAAAACTGGTTTTAAAAGAGAAAACATTTGATAATTTGGATATTTTCATCTAAGTTGTTTAGCCATTAATATTGGTTAGGTGTTAGAAATACGGATATAATTTAATTCGAATGAAAAGAGTTTAATCTAAAATAGTCCACTCCAAAATATGTCGATGTTCACTCCAAACAGACCAATATGATATACCCATGGTTCCAAACAATCTGAAGCGTGGCAGAAAGGTTAAGTCTCAACTTTTACGAGTCATGGTGAGACATGGTCAGAAGTTGCCCGAAAGGTATCACTTAGCCAAGAAGTTAGGGGATTTATAGTCTCGATTGGTACAATTATGTAGACCTAAGAGTAAATTTAAGGGTGTGGAGTTAGTCATTAGAAACATATAATTATAGATTTATATCAAATATATCAAGTTTTTAAGTTTTGTTATATCAACAACTAATAACAAAAGGTTAACAAAAACACAATGGTTTGATGCCCGATAAAAAAAAACGATAAAAATGTGCCTTATGAAAAACTCCTGCCATAATGCACCATGACGTGCCTTACTTTGTCTGGGCTTGCGCAATACCTCAAAGGTTTTCGATATAGTGGGTTGACATGTTGCTGCCATGACGCACTTTTTAGAACATTTTATTATTTGATGTTGGTCGGACAAAACTTAGCTAGTAAAAATAATAACTTAAATGATATATTCAAATTATCATTGGGTTTTCTTCGCTGAAAAAAATAATAAAATCGTAATGACTTTTTAGATAGAAGACGGAAAATACGTCTTTGAAATTTGACATTCAGAAACACAAGTGTTGTTAATTTTGTAAATATTACCCGTAATTAAATTTGGATTATATGAATATAGAACAAATCACCACTTTATTATATATATATATATATATATATATATATATATATATATATATATATATATATATATATATATATATATATATAGAGTCAAGATCAAATAAGAAGGAAATTTTTGGTAGGAAGGTAAGAAGTTTTTTTTCTACATACTTTTTTCGCGAACAAACAAAATGAATCATTAGATGATTCATTTGTAAGATGATTCACAAGAAAAAATTCTCAAAAAAACATCTTGATGATTCATTTATACAATGATTTTGTTGTTATTCACTAAAATTGTCATAAAAATGAATTTTTTTCTTAATTTACTTAAAAATGAATCATAAAGATGTTTTTTTGGGAATTTTTTCTTATGAATCATCTTACAAATGAATCATCTAGTGATTCATTTATTTTGTTCGTCAAAAAAATATGTAGAATAAAAACTTCTTACCTTCCTACCAAACAAAATTTCTTACCTATATATATATATATATATAGGTATATATATATATATATATATATATATATATATATATATATATATATATATATATATATAGTGTCCATCTTTAGTCCAAATTGATTGCACTTCCAAAAATTTAAGAACCACCTAGACCGGTTCCAGTTTCGGTTCTAACTTTCTAGGAACTGCTCCTTCAAGGAAATTAGTATTTTTAAATTCCACAAGATTGAAATCATTAACGATCTTAGTCTTCAAACTTGAATTGAAGCTTCAGGTTCCATGTATCCATGATACTCTTGTACATTGTGTTTACACTTGTCAGAAAGAATATAGACAATATCTAAACATGTGAAGCAAATAAAAACCAAATGCTTATATTGCATTTGTTTTGAAAAAATAATTTTCACTATAAAACAAACGAAATTAACAAGTAATAGAATAGTAACAACATTTGTTGTATTCCATCACGAGGCATTCATGAGTCATGACAATGACACACACTATCAATTAAATTTCCTTAATCATAATATTTACAATTAATGTGTGGTCATTACTTGAGATTTTAAGGAAATCTTTCAATTAATGATTTCCCATAAACAAGAAGATTTTAATATTATGATTTTGTCAAATCTGGCACCTGTTTTATATATATAGCAAAACTCATCTGCAACACACAACAAAACTACCATATTCCTATTGATTCTTTGCTTCATTAACCATGACTAGGCAGAAAGTGAAGCTTGCTTTCATAACCAACGACTCAGCAAGGAAAGCAACATACAAGAAAAGGAAGAAAGGTTTGATGAAGAAGGTGAATGAGTTGAGTACCTTATGTGGCATCGATGCATGTGCTATCATATATAGCCCATATGAACCTCAACCCGAGATATGGCCCAACAACATCGGTGTCCAACATGTGATTGCTCGATTTAAGAGGATACCAGAGATGGAGAGAAGCAAGAACATGCTGAATCAGGAGAGCTTCATCAGGAAACAGGTGACAAAAACCAATGAGCAGCTGAAGAAGCAGATGAAGGAGAATCGGGAGAAGGAGATGACTGAAGTCATGTATCAATGTTTGACTGGAAAAGGCTCAATAGAAAACTTGACCCTTCCAGATTTGAAAGATTTGGGGGAATTGGTGGACCAAACCCTGAAAGACATTTCAAGAAGGATCGAGTCTCTCAAAATAGCCAATCCCAATGAAGCTGCAGCTGCTGCACCACCTCTACAACAGGCGGTTGTTGGTGGTAGCAGTTCAAGTATGGTGGTGGATAATGTGAGTGGTAGGGATGAGATGCAAAGGGGAACTCAAACTACTCAATGGTTCACAGATTGGATGAACAATCCGTCTGAACAAAATTTGGGTCTTGGTCCCAATCGCATATGGCCACATCCATTTTTCCCTGATTGTTAAACTTTATATATTTTCCTGTTTTGAATGTATTTTCTTGAAAGAAACCGATTCTATCAGCATCAGTCATGTGTTAGAAATTTTGGACACACTTGATAGTTATAATTCAAACTCATGGAAACAAGAATTATTGTGGAACATCATGTAACTTCATTTTAAGTCATCGAGTCTGTAATGAATGGAAACCTCACCTTCTAAATTCACCACGAAATCTGGTTTAATATGGTCAAGATATATCTTTTCACAAATCCCTTTTCAAAAACTTGATTGCCAATTAGCAGAGAACAATTTTATATTTTACAAACCTGTTTGTCCTTGTCATACATTTTACACAGAAACACAAAGTGTTTGTGGCATATCAGTGGGAAATTTCATACAGCACTTGGTGTTTCTCTAATAGTATGAGATATCTTACACAATTTGTCGTGGCTAAAGAAGTGTTAAGCCTACGCACAAGCCCCTTATGCATTATATGTTAAGGTGAAAATCATGTAGTCTGCCTCAAATGCTACTTCCCGTATGTAATATTTGACTTATAGTTACACATGAATTCGGAAGAAAATACAAGAACTCACTCTTAAAGTACAAACTAATTCACTCTTAAGGCCCAATTGTTACACAGGATAGGATAGAACAGGTTGTACTACATTTGGCGTGCATTGGACTGGGATTGATGTCAGTCAACAAGACAAAAGTTGCAGTTTTTTTCCCACCCACAAAGAGGAACAAGGCAGGATATGGACTTGCTCTTGATCACTAGTCTATACAAAAGATATGAACTCCCACTTCATCCTCATCATCAAAATAGCCTACTAAGCTTGTCCAATCCAATCCAGTCTAGTCTTATCCCACGTAACAAACACAGCCTAAAGAAACCTACCAAGTAAACATATGATAAAGATTTGGAATTACTAAACACAAATGGGCCTAAACCAAGAATTATCCATGTTTACTCAAGAAGGGCAAAACCGGTAAGTGGCTAAAGATTTGCTGGGGTAAGAAGAGAATAAAAGGGAATGGAGAGTGTGGTGTGTGCATGATCAGTTATCTTATTGTAATAATTTCATTGGCTCTTAGCATAGTGCTAGAGAGAGAGGGAAGATTCCCTGGAGTTGGTTATTTTTGTATCTTTGGCAATCATTCCATTAATATCAAATCTTCTTCTTCCCTGAATCCATTGTTCTTCAATTTTATTCACTGTTACATTGAGTCACTAGTCACTACATTTACAGTTCCCCATCAACATGCCTCTCATGCCAAAAAAAAAATCACAGGAAACAGGAAAGTCCCTCACTAACGAAAACCATATTATCTCCAATGTAACCCAAAAAACAAAAAACAAAATTAACAGGTGAGAACTATAATAGAATGGTAACAACATTCTTGTATTCCATCACAAGACATTCATTACTAATGGCACTAGCAATTAAATATCTTGGATTGTAATATTCACACTTAATGTGTGGTCATTACTTCAGATTTTGTGGAAATCTTTGAATTAATGATTTCCCATAAAAGAATAAGATTTTAATATTAAGATTTTGCCAAATCTGTACCTGTAATATGTATATACCAATGTCCATTAGCAACTCACACACAAAAATACCATATTTCTATCGATTCTTTGCTTCTGTGGCCATGACTAGAAAGAAAGTGAAGCTTGCTTTCATAACCAATGACTCAGCAAGGAAAGCAACTTACAAGAAAAGGAAGAAAGGTTTGATGAAGAAGGTGAATGAGTTGAGTACCTTATGTGGCATCGATGCATGTGCTATCATATATAGCCCATATGAACATCAACCCGAGATATGGCCCAACAATATCAGTATCCAACATGTTCTTGCTCAGTTTAAGAGGATACCAGAGATGGAGAGAAGCAAGAACATGATGACTCAGGAGAGCTTCATCAGGAAACAGATCACCAAATCCAATCAGCAGCTCAAGAAGCAGATGAAGGAGAACCGAGAGAAAGAGATGACTGAGGTCATGTATCAATGTTTGACTGGAAAAGGTTCAATAGAAAACTTGACCATGCCAGATTTGAATGACCTGGGTGCGTTAGTTGACCAAACCCTCAAAGACATTTGCAGGAGGATTGAGTCTCTCAAAGTAGCCATTCCCGGTAAAGCTGTAGCTGCACCACCATCACTACCATCACCACCACCACCACAGGCCACTGGTGGTGGTAGCAGTTCAAATGCTACTAATGAAATGAAGAAAAAAGGAGTTGTGATGCATGCACTGGATAAACAAGCTATGGTGGTGGATAAGATGAGTGGTATAGATGGGATGCAAAGGGGGACTCAAACTCAATGGTTCACAGATTGGATCAATAATTCATCTGAACATAACTTGAGTCTTGCTCCTGGGTTTGAGATGACTCAGTTTGTTAGTAACCCAAATCCCATATGGCCAAGTCCATTTTTTCCATGAAAGCTAAACTATTTATGATATATATATTCCTTGCAATCTCTACCATCCTCCGACTCTATCACGCTTAATCCTGCCACTTTGGCTGCACCCTTGGCTTCCATAAGATCCCTCATCATTCTTGCATCATCCCAGTTTTTTGCTTCAGCATATATGTTTGAAAGAAGTATGTATCTGAAATATATGTTTCAATCATCAATTTCTATACGTATTAATGATATTATATATATGAAAAAGATTTAATAGTAAGAGAAAAATCTCCATACCGTCCACCATGTTGTGGTTCTAAATCTAAGAGGTACTTTCCCACTGCCTCTGCCACCTGTGCATTCCCATGAATCTTGCAACCACCAAGCAATGCACCCCATATGTAAGCATTGGGCTCCACAGGCATTTTCCTTATGAGATCCAAAGCCTCCTCCAATCTTCCACCTCGAGATAGTAAGTCAATAACACAGCCATAATGCTCAACTTTTGGTTCAACACCATAAGCACCTTCCATGGAAGACAATAGTTCTTGACCCTCCTTTATCATTCCAGCATGACAGAAAGCAATAAGCATACCAACAAAAGTCATGTCATTTGGTGCCATGCCTTCTTTCTGCATCTGTTTGAATAGATTTTGAGCATCCTTGGCATAACCATGCATCCCCATGCCAATTAACATGGTATTCCAAGCTAGAATGTCTTTAGTTTGCATTGAATTAAATATCTTTGAAGCTTCTGTAATGTTACCACATTTGACATACATATCTATCAATGCAGTGCCAACAATTAGGTTAATATTGATGCCTTGTTCACTTATGTACAAATACAAGTGCAAACCTTTATCTAAAACACCCAATTGACCAATGGCAGATAATACACTAACAACTGTAGTCTCATCCACCCTTATTCCTGCTAATTTCATTTCATCAAATAATGCAAGTGTCTCATTTGGCTTTCCATTCTGTGCATAGCAAGCTAACATGGCGTTCCATGAAACCACATCTCTGTAAGGCATGTGGCGGAAAATTCTGAGTGCATCTTCTACGTTGCCACATTTGACATACCCAGCTAACATTGAATTCCAAGAGACTATGTTTCTCTCAGGCATTTGATCGAACAGCCTCTTTGCTTCATCAAGATTCCCAGCAATTCCATAGCCATTGATCATACTGTTCCAAGAAATCACATCCCTGTGTGGCATTTGATCAAACACTTGCCTTGCAAGGTCCATGTGACCGGATTTTACATATGCATCGACCATTGAATTCCAACAAACAATATCTCTCTCTGGATGCACATCAAACAACTTCTTTGCAGAAGGCAAACGTTTAGCATCCGCATAAAACTTAATCAACGAACTTTGTACATAAAAGTCAGACTCAAAGCCACATTTCAAAATATGGGTATGAACCAAAATCCCAAATTCAATGCTTGAAGACAACGTACATGACTTAATTACAAACGGGAAAGTCATATTATTGGGTCCTACACCATTACGTAGCATTTGACGGAACAAGAAGATGGCTTCTTGAGGCTGGGTAGGGGATGCCGAAAACCCTCTAACGAGCGCGTTATAGAGTTGCACAGTGGGGTTTGGTTGCTGATCGAATATGGTTTTAGCATAAAATAAGTTTCCATGAGGTGAAATCGCACAAAAAGACGCCAGCCTACACAATTCTGGAAGTGAGGTTTCATGAGGAAGAAAGCCTTCATGAACGATTATTTGAGCATGTACTTGTTTGAATTGCCTAATGCTTTTGCACTTGATTACAAGGTTATCAAATTGGGGCTTCAACGATGAGTATCTGATGGCGAATTGCTTGTTAATCATGGAAACTAAATTGGTTATGATATAACCGTTTTGAGAGTGTAGTCTCCAAAGAGAAGAAATTTTCTGACGTTTATTCCCAACAAATGCAGTGCCAATATATGGGAAAGATACACTACGCAGTAATCTGTAGAGCATCCCTTGTCACTTCATCACCACTAAACACACCACTAAACACGCCACTTCATATTATTTTTTTAATTAAATTTAAATAAAAAATATATAAAAATTATATAAGTTTTTTTAATATTAGTTTTTCACTAATTTTAAATATCAAATTACATTAAATAAAAACTACAGTAATTAAAATAAAAATTACATTAGTTAAAATAAAAAACCTAAAAATACCAAACTTATAATTTCTGTTTTAAGTAATGTTATTCCATTTTGGGGAATTCTTCAATTTTTGTCAAGCTTTGACATGTCCAAAACATTTATAATTTGTGTTTTCATATTGCTCCATGCTCATATTAACGGGATCAATATCGGCTTCGTGTACGTTGTTTATAACAAAGTTGTAAATTTCATTAAACTTACAATATTTGACCCTGATAGTGCGCCACTTCGAGCATATTTCATCAACATTTCGAATAGCACAACTCATTAAACCATAAAAAACACTTTCAACATTTCTCCAAAAAGAACCAGACGTTTAACCAGCGCCTTCTTCCAAAACCGTCACTCATGCTTGTGCTAATTTCTCTTCTTCCTCTTTAGACAATTTCTTATTTTTGGGAGGCATAGTTTTTAAAAGATCAAACAACAAAAATGTATGAATATGACTAAAGGGAGAGAAGAAATGTGTGAAAACTAAGAAGATAGGTGGTAATATTTATAGGTAATATATTGGAGGAAAAAAATAAATGAAAGTAGTCGTTGGAGGTCAAAGGAGGAAATGAATTGATTGGGCGTTTGAGATCGTTGTCCGGAACACGAAGGTCCATGACCACCACCCACGACGAGTCATTGGGAAGGTGTGCACGGTCGTGGTTCATGGCCACCATACCGGAAGGCCTTAGGAACAAGAAAAGAAAAGAATGGAAATCATATTCTATTGGTCCTAGAAAGATGGAAGCGTGAATGCGCATGCATTAGGAAACTTGGCCTATCTGGTCTTTAGGAAACTTGGTCTATCTAGTCTTTAGGAACGACTTATTGGTTAACGATTCGGTTAGATATGGATTGGATTCGGTTCGGACGTTATGTAATCACCTTATTTATTAAATGTAAAAAAAATAAGATAAATTCATGCAACTAGTTAAATTGACAATCGTTTGTGTTTGTGACATAAGGCTATCAGTTACCGTCACATATAAAAAAAAAGTAATGAAGAACATGTCACATCATCAAGATAGCTACTCCACAACACTTTTAATGGCCTTCGTGTCTCCACCAATCAAATGGTCCGTGATCATCCGTGAAGGCAGCCCCTCCACAAGACAATTACTCCTCGTTGGGATGGTGTTTACGGGTAAGAATGTGTGTCACATAAGCTTTCACGTGTAAACTTCCCTCTCATACCGTGTAGCCTAATGTAAGTTTTAAAGTTTTTGATACATTGATTTGCTTTTGACAAAAATAAAATAAAATAAATAAATAAAATTGTGGTAAACATTGACTACTTATTTTTAAATAATTGATTGTTGTTATAATCCCGTGTGAATTCATTAACATGTCAAAGATCTATCATTCGTAACACCTTTGTTTTGCCATAAAAGAGAAAAACAATGCACGGTATAGTTTTCCTTTTCGTGGTTTATATGTTATTTTAAAGTTATAAGTTTTCATGATTGTATATTTTAGTATTCAAGAGTTAGTATGCTAATATTTTAAAGAACTGTAATAATTTCTCAAATTTATAAATGTTTATGAAATTAATGATAAGTTAATGCTTAGAATAGCAAGCGTGTAATCTCATTTACGGTAAAAACTTGATTATATGCTTGGAATATGAGTATTTTCTCGTGATTATGTTAATGTAGATATAGGATGTCATGATTAAATCGACCTCATTTCAGTTTGCATGTATGTTGAATTGTTAAACATGCTAGGCATTGTTTTTTATTTGCATTAACAATTTTATAATTGATTTATTTAAGAAAAATGCATGATTTACTAACCATCTAAGCAACATTTGTATCATTTTCATCTTCAAATCAAGACAATATTACTCAAACGGATTTCTAGGTAGAGGGTTTAGTGTTAAAAATAAAAGAAAAACAATATATTTATCAAAAAGTGTTTATTGGTGGTACCATACTAGAATGAGTTGGTTTAAAAATGTTTATTACAGATGTCAAACTCAAATAAGCTAATATACATATTAAATAAACAATCACGCCCTCTATAAACTTCTACATTTTATAAATACTATCTATAAAGATTTCCAAATGTTTATAAATGGGTCTCACCTATTTATTTATATTCTAACCTATGCTTTTATATTAAATAATAAAACAAAAGCAAAATATATTATTTATAAGAACTAAGAATTTAGGGATGATTAAAAGAAAACCAAAAGGAAAGTTTTTAAATTTCTTAGTTTTCTATAAAATCAAATATAGAAATTAATATTAACATTATCCAATATTGGTCTCAATGGAGAAGAAATGTGAATAGAAATCAATTAAATTAAATATGGTGGGCCATGATCATTTATGAAACGATCCATGTTCTTTAACACGTTTATCAACCATGCTCTATTAGAAAATCATTTTTCTTATAACGTTTCATATATATTTTGGACTTCTAAGGGTTCCACCATACTGGAATAGTGGATACTTCCGTCTTTCTGGATGACTTGCTCCTCCTCTCGCTCTAATAACAAAACCTAAAATGCACCAAATTAAATTACCTCCTACCTTTTATTTCTATAATTATTGATAGGGTCCTGATTTTTATACAGATGGTTTTTCTTCTTCCACTGGAAAAAACAATAAATTGACAATTATACCCTTGGTTTTAATTTATAAATATTTAAGAGAGATTTTTTTTTTCTTTCCAAACTACTTACCTACCATAGTACCATGAAACAACGGTTTCCTCCTTCCTTACCTTAGAACCTATTTCATGCTTTTAATAGTGGACATGGAGGCCTAGCTTCAACATTTAAAAATCTCCGATGCAATAACCGCTGTTGAATAATTTCCAATAATATTGTTTGGTTGGGATATCAATATTTTACAAAGTCCATCCATTCATCTTCTTCACCAAGATTGTATCCAACAGTTGGAGAAAAATAATAAAGCAGAATAATTCATATACATCAATCCTTTTTTTAATTCCCAAACTCACATACCCTAAGAATAAGATAACAGTTTGTTCAGAGATTTTTTGAAAATTCTACAAATATTACTCTCTAGATGGTTGTGCTAAGAAGTTAACTGCATTAACTTAGACAAAGAAAATGTATCTCTGTATCCCGAATTCAAACCACAACATCTTCATCATCACTAATGAATAATGATGGTCGTCTTCAGAGGTCCCCAAACAGCTATATAGATCCTTCCTTGAAGACCCTTAAATATTACTACATATTCACCAACCTCTTAACTCAGTATTACACAAATTATCACTTTATAACACAAACCAATTACCAATGCATTAAAGTTGCTTTCTCTACTCACAGCGTCACCAGCTGAAGGAGAAGCGTCGGAGGAAACAAAAAAGATCTTTCTCTCTTTCACCGTTTGGAAAAAAATGGAACTTTCCATATCTTATCTTAAATATTTATAAATTAAAACCAGGGGTATAATTGTCAATCTATTGTTTTTTCAGTGGAAGGATAAAAACCCTCTGTGGAAGAATCATGACCCTTATTCATACCCACTAAAATTATGACAAATCACCATTCAATTTAATTTTATTTGATATATTCCTAGTATAGCAGCTTTAATGAGTTAGTTAAAAAAATATGGAATGATGACACTTGTCATAATTTTATTGGGTAGAAACATTTGTATGCATAAAAAGTAGGAGGTAATTTAATTTCTCTATCATATTTGTCTCCTCTCGCTCTAATAACAAAACCTAAAATGCACCAAAATATCATATTTGTCCAATCTAATTTCTAAATATCACATTTATCCTTATTAACCTTTCAAAAAATCAAAATTGCCCAAATCTTTTTCTTTAATATTTTTTAATCATTTTTAATTCTTATTTTTTATCAATTGACTATAATACCCCTCTTATAAATATAATTTTAAATAGACAAAATTGCAAAAATGGTCCCTGTGGTATGCATTTTTTTGGGGTTTCAGTCCAAACCTTGATTTTTTTGGATTCATGGTCCTTTTGGCATAGTTTGTACGTAAAATTGGTCCCCCGACTTAACTTCCGTTAAGTAGTTGCTGTTAACTCCCTCATGTGCCTCTCACATGAGGGTATATTTGTCTTTTCACTTCTAAGGGATCATTTTTGCACCTAAAAAAATATATCTTTTTTTAAAAAAAAAATTAATACCTATTTATTTTTAATAACTAAAAAATAAAAGAGCTCTCTCTCTCTCTCTCTCTCTCTCTCTCTCTCTCTCTCTCTCTCTCTCTCTCTCTCTCTCTCTCTCTCTCTCTCTCTCTCTCTCTCTCTCTCCATATGTGGGTAAAGTGGTCTGTATGGTTCAACACTTCAACTTGTTTATCTTCTCTCGTAATTTCTACAAACCTTTTTCTTTGCAAAGTTTGTGGCGGGAGAAAATACTCCTCACAGCAGGCGGCAGCCATGTCAGGTGCGACTACTCTTTTTTCTAGTTTTTATCATAATTAACGGTACCTGTGCACATGGAGTCCATTGATGAAATGGTCGTATGAATTATTTCTTTGAAAACATATTATGCTCTGTTGATTGTTGGTCTTGGAATGCAATGATAGTGGTAATGATGCATGCATGTTTCTTTCAATTCTTCGTTCTGGGATACTGTGGCATTCAATGCATGGGGATAAACTAAATTAAGAGTGGGTGTTGGGACTTGGGTGGATGAAAATCAAATCAATGTGCATACATGGTGGTGTTCGTGTGAGTCCCCCCCCCCCCCCCCCCCCCCCCCCTCTCTCTCTCACGGGTGAAACCCATGTCACCACCTCATCATTATCTTTGTGACCTCTCTCAGTCATTCGTACTCTACCGACGAAGACAATGAC